CACTCTCCTACTCTGGGTTCGTTGGATGCGTGGTTTTTAACAAAACAAGATACAGGAATTATATATTTTCCTATCCTTGGAAAGGAAAATGAACAGATACAAAATTCTAAGAAATGAGTCTTAAAATTTCACCATATCTAGTTTACCATACTAATTATGATGGGAAAATTAACTGATTTGTTAGATTTTTCTTTTCACAAAAAACTTTCTTGAGTGCTATATGCCAGGTATAGGCTCTGCTTTCAAAAAGCTCAGTCTTGTAGATGTCAGTTGAGTAAATAGACATCATATTTCATCGATTCTTAGTTGTGCATTTCTCCCCCACATTTAAACAGCTGAAGTTGGAATATGTTTTAGTATTGATGGCATGCAGAGTTTAAGTGGCAGCATATTTTTTTTCTTAGTGATATATGAAATAATGGTGCATCATATAGTTGATAGCAACTTGTACAGACAAGAAATGGTAACTGTAATTCAATGAGATGTTCATTAATAACATTATATAGATGGTACAAAGGTAGCACAGACAAGAAAGTTAATCACTCAGCGTGAAAAAGACAGCAGACTTTACAAGAGAGTTAACGGAGATGGTGAAGGAGTGGAGAGGGACAGCATATGCAAAGGTCAGCTGAGTGACGGTATATGGTGTATTTAGGAGATGACATATTATTCAGTAATACTAGTGTATGAGGTGGGAAGTGACTGCTGCCAGATATGGTAGGCTTTGAATATCAACTGGCTACAGCAATATATTTTATCTTACAGGTGATGAGAAACCATTGAGTGATTCGCCCCCTTGTTTTCATTGGAGGATTTGTATACCAAAATTAGTAGAGTTACAGTTTTGAAAGATCACAGTGCAGCAGTTCAAAGGGTAGATTGAAAAGGTGAAGAGATGGAATTCCCTGTTGAAATAAGAGCTTGATTGAAGGCAGTGGCAATGGTATTCAGGAGGAGGGGATTTGATAAACATTTAGCAGAAATATTTGGCGGAACTTTAAAGATGAAGGTGTTCACAACTACTCTGAGGTTTTTTGCCTAGGAGGCCTGGGGTCACTAACTGTGATAGGTCATGCTGAGATTAGCAGTGCCTCAGAGGTGTTGAATTGGAGGTACCCATGAGACATCGAGTGGAATTGATTTAATGCCCCTTCTGGTTGTCTTGTACCTTGCCTATATCTTTGTAAATAGTCCCTTCAATAAGTAAACTCCTCAAATTACTCAGTTTTAGTGTACTATCTCTTTCCTGATTGGACCTCTACTGATATATAACATATGACTTGTTATATTTTAATTACATGAATCTTTAAGATATGTTTAAAACTAGGTTCAAGCAAGTAATAATATGAACATGATTAATTTTTATAGAGCTTTCACATATGTTCTCATTTTAAGCACATTAAGTACTTCCTTAATTTTTTATGATACTTGCAAGTTGTTAATGGTAATTATCTTTTAATCTTTTCAGATGAAGTTGGAGCCCTTGTTTTTGACATTGGGTCCTATACTGTAAGAGCTGGTTATGCTGGTGAGGACTGCCCCAAGGTAAGTGTAATGTTAGAGTTAATTGGATATGTAGGGCCATTCACGTAGAATTAAATTCCTGTAGAAATTCTGATTCAAAACAAATATAGTAAAAGACATTAGTTGGAAACAAAAATGACTCCTTGATAAAGCAAGTGAAGTTTGTATATCATGTTTTTGACTCTTACAGGTGGATTTCCCCACAGCCATTGGTATGGTGGTAGAAAGAGATGATGGAAGCACATTGATGGAAATAGATGGTGATAAAGGCAAACAAGGCGGTCCCACCTACTACATAGATACTAATGCCCTGCGTGTTCCGAGGGAGAATATGGAAGCCATTTCACCACTAAAAAATGGGATGGGTATGATATTTTACCCATGGATTTGATTATAAATATAGAGTGTGCATGGTATATTTTAGATATAAAGCAGTGGCTTCTTATAAATTGAACATCAACTATTTTTGTTTGTTTTTGTTCTACAAACTGATGTTCCAAGCACTGAAAATGCAAAGATGCATTAGAAACGTTCCTTTTCCTTGAAAAACTTATAGTCAGATAGATGAGATAGATGTATACATACAAATGTGATACACTGGGATAAGTGCTCTAATACAGGTATGTTCAATAACCAGTGGGTTTAGAGAGAAGACGTATTTATCACTGGGGGAGAGGGGAGATCAGTGATGGTGTTCACAGAGGAGGTAACTTTTGTGATAAAAAATTTTTTTTTTTTTTGAGACAGGGTCTCATTCTATTTCCCGGGCTAGAGTGCAGTGGCATCATCATGGCTCACTGCAACCTTAAACTCCTGGGCTCAAGCAATCCTCCTGCTTCAGCCTCCTGAGTAGCTGGGACTACAGGCATGTGCCACTATGTCTGGCTAATTTTTTGCAGAGATGGGGCCTCGCTGTGTTGCCCATGCTGGTCTTGAACTCCTGGTCTCCAGTGATCCTCCCACCTCTGCCTCCTAAAGTGCTAGGATTATAGACATGAGCCACCGCACCTGCCCTTTTGTGATAAATCTTGATCAGTGAATAAGAATTAGCTTGGCTGACAAATCTGGATAAAGTAGAGGGATTAATGTGTGAAGAGATGGAGTTGTGAAAGAAACTTACATGTTTAGAAATGTTATACAATTAAGTATGGCTATAACATTGGGTGCATTAGGATCAATAGCAGGAAAGGTAGGCAGGGAACAATCATAAAAGGGCTTGTAAACCATCCTAGGAGTGTATTAAGCTAGTAACTGAAGGATAACCCTAAAGGAATTTAAACAGAGATATGATATGCTCATATTTGCCTGCTGGAAAAATGACTTTAACAGCAGTAGGCTAGATTGGAGGGAGACAGTAGAGATAGGATCAGTAAGTGAAATAAGAGTCCAGGTGAGAAACGAAGAGGGTTTAAACTGTAACACTAATAGTGGATATCCTGAGGTGGCTTTTAGGATATCCAGGAAACATGGTAGTAAGTGATTGAAGGGGTGAAAAGGAAAGAATTGAGAAGGTTTCCTAGAGTTTTGGTTGGGGTAACACTGAATAGAGGGTCCTAGGCACTGAGATAGCAATAGAAGGGAAAGAATAAGTTATGGTTTTAAAAGGCAAGTGTTGCGGATACCCAAAATCACTCTCGGGTTCACTGCATTGGTGGGGGACCTGCGGCTTTGGGGCTACATGTAGCCTTCTGGATCCTTGAATGTGGCCTTTTGACTGCATCCAAATTTTACAAAACAAATCCTTTTAATAAAGGGATTTGTTCTGTGACGTTTGGATTCAGTTGAGGGGCCGCTCTTGGGAATCTGGAGCAACAGGCTTCCTCCAGCAACAAGCTGTAACATGATAATACCTGTATACCAGGGGAATGCATTAGAAACTCAGTACCCAAGGTTTTTGCTGAAGGCTGGTCATGTAGGTACCCTCTGCCTGTCATGTACGAACATTTTAGACTCCCAGAAGGAAAACAGCTATGTATAAACTGTATCATTTGTCCATACAGTTTTGGTATAGTGAGCCTACTCTTACCATTTTGGGAAAGTTTTATATCAGTGTAGGAAACTGTTTACCAGTCAAATTCCCAGACATCAGGTAAGGGTCAACCTTGCAAGCAGGCCTTTCTCAGGCTTGCTATGTTAACTCTTTCATGCACAGCAAGTAAGTGGGTTCATTGAGTTCAAAGTGTTTGGGACATTGAAGTGATAATCTAGTAAGCAGGTGAATAAAAGGTCATGAGAAAGGTTTTAAGACATGGAGTTGTATTTTATTACCCAGAAAGAGTTTGGAATATGAGAAGAGGGTTGAGAATGGAGTTCCTAGCAAAAACTTGTTTTGTATTTAACCAATAAAGAATCAGAGGCACCCATGAAGGAGAATGAAGAGAAACAGTTAGGGATGTAGGAGAAGGCCAAGAGAACAAAAAGTTCTTGGAAGTGTAAAAGTCCAGTGATTCTCAGTGTTCTCAGGTATGACATTGAGATTTACACTAAGAAGGGGAGAGAAAAAGAAATTAAAGCTACCAATGAAGTCCATTGACTTCCTCCACCGCCCCCCCCACCCCCCAAAATCCAGATGAGCCTGTAAGAATGTGTTATACAACTAATGTCATTT